AAAAAAAAAAAAAAAAAAAGTATTAGATACCTAGTACTAGATTCATATCATACATCAGCTTATAAGTTTTAGAAACACCGGTGAATGAAATTTGGATCGGGATAACAAAACCAGCATATCCGGTTTCCGTTACTTCAAATGGAGGTTCCTTTATTGCACGTTTAGGGTTGGCAAAGTCTGGGTGAAGTTCGAAAACAACCTAAAGCATACCCAAAAAAGAAGAATAAGCCAAACTACTAATAAGCAAAAAACTGCTAATGATTTCCAGAACAAATAATCAATGGCTAAGAAAACAACAGAGCTATTTGATTATCAAACCTTCTACAAAAGACGATATAAATTACAAAAGGGAGAGCAAGAGCATGACCATTAAATACTCCACCCGTGCCGCATCATAAAGAACTGGGAGTGGATCAGCCTTAAAAACAAAAAGAAGCCTATGAACTACTAAAAAAGGAAAAATGGACCGTACAAGAATAGCAAAAGGCAAAAAGTGATTGGACGTCCCCTACAAATTATTTAACAACGTTTTCAACAGTTTATCTGCATCATACTAAAAAAATGAATGACAAGGCTCATATGAAAAACATCACATACTTTACAATTACGAAGATAAAAGGTGTGGTAAAAACACAGTTGAAGTAGGACTTCTAAACAATCCTTGTAGGAAAAATTCTAAAGCTAACCCGTTATCAAAAAGTCTACATCTGAACACAATTCCCTAAATCGTCAAAACTTCATCTCTCTGAAGAAAAACGAAAAACACACTCAGACCTGACACTCAACCGTAGAAGGAAACAACAAAAGAGGGTAAAAGCCCCTAGCAAACGAGAACCTTCCAAAAAATTATACTTCAAACTAACCTTATTGATAACACTTCTGTCTGTTAATTGAAGAGAGCCTGCTGAGCGCACAAAAACGGTCCAACGAAACTGAGCCTCGCCTGACGGAGTCAAGGTGTCAAGCATTTCAGATCTGCAACTGCGAACCATAAAAATTTGGTAGATATAGAAAACTGTTACAAGGATAAAAGAATTACAAAAAAGTATTAAGTTGATGACCAAAATTTACCACCATAAAAAACAAGCCAAGCTTAGGGAAACACATATCTAGGAAGTCACAAGTATTCAAGTGACACATTGAAACAAACAGTAAAGTAGATATACCGATCACTAACTTTTAAATGACATGTCTTTGAAATCAAGGAATAGTTGATCAAGATGATTTCTAATATTGCTTACCGTAATGAAACAAGTTTCTCCTTATATAAAACGGCGTTTCAGTAAAATAAATCGCAAAAAAATTAGCAGAAGCATAATGTAAACAAAGAACTCTTAGCAATATCGTAACCGTATTAAAAAATTTTATGCAAGTGAAACCCCCATTATTGCAATTCAATACCTTTGCAGAATTTCCTTTACTTAAAGGAAAAAATTCAAACTTACTCGTGGCCTATCTGAAGTGGAAGCAAAAGGCGAGTATCCGCCATTTTCGGAAATGCAATCCAAACAATGATACGGAAAATAAGTCAAGGTGATTCTGTAACAACATTAATAACTATCACGTACAAAAGATTTCATTTGCAACATAGTTCACTGCATAAATCACAAACCTGACTACTAGGATACGTTCCCATTACAGAAATACACTAATAATTTCGCATAACATTTAAAGATAAATGCCAAATAAAGCGCAGGAAAAAAAAAAGATCAGAAAAAAACATAATATAATCAAAATTTCGAATACGACAAAGAATATAAAATTAATGAGTTCAGTCCAACAATAAATCGATGCCAGCCTCTCATTCTTGGTTAGAAATTACAAATTTCCGACGCAAAATCCCCCAATTTTCTGTTCATACATAACTCGCTTACACTCAACTATGCTGTACGATCAGATTATTCAAATGAATCCTTTTTAATCGAACACAATAGAAAATAACGTGCCAATTTTGACTATAATGAGAAAGAAAGTTTAAGGAAAAAAACTTCAACCTTTTTTTCTCTGAGTGTATTAATTGAGCAAAAATATAGTTGCAAAAAAATTTAATTTTAATGGTTCATCACTAAAAAAGGTTAAAACATTCTTCTCTTTCGTTCTTTTCGCCATGCAATAAAACAAAGAACGTAAAAAGCTCTTCCTCCTATATAATGTACGTGTTTTTCCCTTTCATTTGAACCTTTACTACAGCGTTCTCGCTTCTTCCAGTACAAAAAACAAGCGGCAAAAAAACTAAAACTTTTATATCGATTAACAGAAAACCCTGAACAACTCTACTTCTCTTTTTTTTTTGGATGTCCTCTATGTTCAATACGCTAAAGCAATTATACCCACGTTAAAAAACTTAAATGAAAGGAAAACTCATACAATTTATTAAAACCCGTAATCGCTTAACAACATAACCACAGTTCACAAAAAAAACCTCCATCACTCATCAAACATAAAATATACTGTTGCTAAAATAATTTCCTGATGTTGGCAGAAATAAAAATCTTCATGAAGTAACTTTACGATGCAAGCTTCTTCAAAAGGAAAACTCCCAAATAAACAAAACAAAGACAAAAAAAGTCACCTGAATGCAAAACACACGTATACGCAAACACGAACACATACGA